GTGTCTTGTGTATAACAATGCTGATCTCCAGCACGCCCTGGCTGCCAGAGACTCGCAATGTCGCTGCCCCTCCCCCTCGCTGTCACTCAGGCCTCATTTGAAATATTTCTCCTTCTGAGCAGCGTGGTCACACAGCGGCGGGAGCGCACCGTCTACCAGCTCAGCAGCAATGGCACCGATCAGAACGGGATCAAACGCTGCACGCACCCGATCCCCGGGGAGACTCCGCTATGATTTTCAACTTCGCATGATACTTTTTCAGTTCCCTAAGTGGAAGGAATAAGACGTTCTATTACCTCATCTGGCAGAATCTGAATTTTAACTCAACCAGCTCATAAACCTTGTGTTTTGTTCCATGTTATAGTACAATTGTCGACCCATTTAAGTGCTCAGCTGCCCTCAGAAACCAGAGGGGACAACACCGCCATCTGTTAGGTGATCTGTATGGAGAAAGGTGACAACACTGCCAGCTGCTGGGCAGATTTGTATAGAGAGGGGTGACAACACTACCAGCTGCTGGGCAGATTTGTATCGAGAGGGGGGACAACACAGCTCCTGCTGGGCAGATCTGTATAGAGAGGTGACAACACTGCCAGCTGCTGGGCAGATCTGTATAGAGAGGTGACAACACTGCCAGCTGCTGGGCAGATCTGTATAGAGAGGTGACAACACTGCCAGCTGCTGGGCAGATCTGTATAGAGAGGTGACAACACTGCCACTTGCTGGGCAGGAAATGGAGAAGCATCAAGTAGCTTCACCAAGAGTTTGTCTGCTTCATTACTGATATGTCTAAGGGAAGGACTCTCCATAAATCACCACAGAAGCCCCCCAAGGCAGCACCTCCTGTCCCTAGCTGCAGGTAGCCACTTCCAAACCCAGCTTAGTCATTAAAGGAGAACTATGAGGCAAGTGAAAATATCACTCACCTCATAGTTCTAGCCGACCTGTGACAATGAGACTGTCACAGGTCGGCTCAGTAGATCGGGAAGTGAGCGAACACATACCGGCGCTCGCTCACTTCTCGATCCTGTCCCTGCAGAGAGTGGTGACTGTCACTCATGGCTACCTGCAGGGATTCCCCTCTCCGATTCTCTGGCGCTGACTGGCAGAACGGACGGGGGAGGGGGCGGGTACAGCTGGCTCTGCCTGCAATGAGACTCCCTTACTCCCTGCACAGCAGACTGGGAGAGGGAAGGGAGGAACTCTGGGAGAGGGAAGGGAGGAACTCTGGGAGAGGGAAGGGAGGAACTCTGGGAGAGGGAAGGGCGGAACTCTGGGAGAGGGAAGGGCGGCACCGGGAGAGGGAAGGGCGGCACCGAGAGAGGGAAGGGCGGCAGGTGAAGAGATTCCAGGAGGCGGTGGAGGGAAGGTTGGAGCAGACGTGACACAAGGCGCTGCAATGAACTGTAGCCGTACCCTGAGCTCGGTTTTATTCCACGGCTGCTTCTGTAGATTAACACTGTAGATTTTGGATTTCCTCACCGCCCGGACGTACGCCTCGTGGCCTTGTTTGAAGTAAATGACCTGCGCGGGACACACAATAATGGCAAAATCAATGTTACCCCTCCGCAGAAAGACATCCGGAAAGTTTTATTAGCTATAGGAAAAGGGGAAGTTCATGGAAGGAATCTCCCCGGTCGTCATTATACCCGGCCACGGACACATATTGCTGGCCCCATTGTACAGAAACAGGCCCGGCGCTAGCGCAAGGCAAGTCAGGCGGCCGTCTGAGGGCGGAAAAAACAGGGCATTTTGACAAGTACTCGTACAAATTTGCGCTATGGTTTTTTTTTTCTTACTTACCTTCGGCGCGGGAGAGCGTAGCTCCTCCCACCGGACCAGCGCTGACTCGCCGCTGCTCTCCCGCGCCGAAGGTAAGTGGGGAAAAAAACAAACATAGCGCAAACATCGGGGCATTTAGGACGAGTACTTGGGGTCGGGGAGCGGGGGCGCAAAAATGCACCTTGCCTGTGTAGGCAGGAATCCTAGCACCGGCCCTGTACAGACATAACCCCCATCGTCCACAGACACAAAAGGTTTTAACATTGACACAATGACATCTCCTCGAAGTCTTTTAGAAGAAATCATCCTCAGTACCTCGTCTCCCATCTGTGGGACGAAGGGTGTACCGCAGCGCTGAATACTGAAAAATGGCCTGGATGGGAAGGGGGTGTAACACCGCGGATGTCAACTGGTTAATGTCAGGTGATCTTCAATACACAAACATGACAGTGACGAGCATCCAGCGATGTTCTGAACAGATTCTGACTGATCACCTCCAAAGCGGATTTCACCGAACGAGATCCAAATATTCCCACTAATACTCGGAATCCCATCTGCCAAGAACCACACCGGGGTCTATCCACCTCGCCAGTGCCAATCAGCTGTAGCCTTCCCCCGCCGATACCTGGAAGAGGGAAAGGAGAGCCGGCTCCACTCAAAGCTCTGCAGCTGTGTGACGTTACCATACTGGCGCCCCGCTGTCACTATGTGTGCGGAGCAGCAGGACAGGTAAGTGGTGGATGGATATTTTTTTACGGCACGAGACCACCAGGGAATATAAGGGACACTCTCCCCAGTATACCACTAGGGGATTTTGTTTAGGGGTGCAGGGGTGCCCTGACCATCGAAACGTTGCTACACTTGGTGATGTAACTGCACACATGGAAGAAAAGGAACTTGTGGAACTAACTTTCTCCGCGTCGGCCATTCAGGGCCGGATTTACTCTCCCTGCCGCCCCAAGGCCAGGCTCCGCAATGCGCCCCTCCCCCTATCAATGGAGAATGGCAACCAGATGGCAGGGTTAGTTTTAATTTTTCTTTATTGTTTCTTTTTATCACTTTGTTTGTTTGTTTTTTACAAAATGTTACATTTGTATTTATCTTATTGTTTACTTTTATTATTTTATAATTTTTTAAATCTTATTATTGTTTATTTTTTATAATTATTTTTCTAATAATTTGTTTCTTATTATTTTTTACTTTTTAATCACCTGTTTATTTTTTTTATTTAATTATTTCTTATTTTTTTTTGTAATTATTTTTTTATCAATTTTTTTTTTTCACTTAAAAAGGAGAAGTACGGGGTCAGGGATTTTCCCCATAGTTCTCCTTAGGGTAACGGGAGGACACAAACTAGCGTCCTCCCGTCACCCTAAGCTCAGCAAACCGCAGGGCAGGCTGGAATGGGACGAGGTGCCCACAAGCGCTTGGCCCTCTGGCGGAAATTCAGCAACGCGTTTCATGTCTCTAAGAAGAACCTCTACACATACAAGCGGCCGCACCTTCCTGCGAGTTTGTTTGCGTTTCTTCTCCTTGTCGTCCTCCTTGGCGTTCTCGTCCTCGGAACTGCTGCACATCTTGCGGGTGGTCTGACGCGTCTGCCTCTTGGGAGGCTGCAGGTTGATCCCGGCGTCTGCGGTCCAGTCCGAGTACTCGCTGGACGAGTCGCTGCAAGAAACAAAAGCGCTGTGAGGGGATGTCATAGAACAAAAAAAGGCAAAAAAGACGGCAAAGCGCGATTCACTTTAAATAAAGTGCAAAACCGACTTCCTGGCCCAACGTCACCACAAGTAACACAAATACACGGCAACGCACAAACGCTCCGGACTTTATTATCTTCTTCCTGCAGTTGTAGCAAGTCCCCTCCTGCAGAATACTGATTACTCTTCATTCCCTGCAAACCTTTCTCTCCGCAATATAACCCTTTCATTGCACACCAACTACCCCCATCCTGCCTCCATTTCCTGTCTGAACAACTTCAATCATCATCATCATCAATCTGTTGGTCTGCTATTCACAGCTATAAAAGCCTTCGCTGCCACCAATCACTTTTGCTCTTGGTCAAGTGTGGGCGTGATCTATAAAAAGGAGAACTATGGGGGTCAGGGCTTTTCCCCCATAGTTCTCCTCAGGGTAACAGGACACAAACAAGCGTCCTCCCGTCACCCTAAGCTCAGTATATAGGGAGCTACAGCTCGCGGTATACTGAGACGTCGCAGCCGGAGCGGATCCCGACATTACTGTCTGTACCCACCCAGCTGCGTGATTGATCTATCTAGAGGTAGAGCCATCTGTACCCGCCCTCTCCCCCGTCCGTTCCGCCAGTCAGCGCTGGAGGATCGGAGCGGGGAGAATCCCTACAGGGAGCCGTGAGCGACAGTCACGGCTCTCTGCAGGAAGATGATCGAGAAGTGAGTGAGGGACGGTATATAGCTCCCTATATACTGAGCCTAGGGTGACGGGAGGACGCTAGTTTGTGTCCTCCCGTTACCCTGAGGAGAACTATGGGGAAAAGCCCTGACCTCATAGTTCTCCTTTAAAGGACTGAAAAGTTTCCAATGTATGTTGATGGATCAAATCAGATCAGAGTGTATAAGGGTTCATCTGGTTTAGGGTCGGAGGATACAAAAACGCACACAAATGTCTTGAGCGTAGTAATTGAACAGAACCATGTGAGAAGCATCTTCTGGAAGCGGTCACCAGACTTTTCACAGTGCTAATTCATTCGTATTCAGAGAATTTGAAGCGTTCATTTGCTGAGCAGCCTATCGGCACAACCTGAGCCGGACAAATATGGGTGCCGTACCTGGACGAGCTCTCACTCTGCCACGGGGGAGCCGCCTCATCACCGGACGCTTCACTGGTCGCCCGCGACTCTTCATGCTACAAAACAGATTCACCAATTTCATGTTTAATGGTCCAATACAAGATAATGGAAACCTTTAATATTCACATTCAGCCACGCTTTTAAAGATATATCGTATATACAATGTATTGCCAAAAGTATTGGCCCCTCCCAATCATGTGATTCGGGTCCTCCAATCCCCTCCGTGGCCCCCGGTGTATAGGACGAGGCACCACGGCGTGCAGACGCTTCTACAGACATCGGTGAGAGAACGGGTCGCTCTCAGGAGCTCAGTGACTACAAGCGTGGGATGCCGTGATAGGTTGTCACCTGCGCAATAAGTCCATCCGTGACATTTCCCGGCTACTAAATATTCCGCCGCGGTCGCCTGTTACTGGGATTATAACAAAGCGGAAGCAACTGGGAACAGCAGCAACTCAGCCAGGAAGACATTTTGGGCAATTTCATGCCCCCAACTTTGTGGGAGGAGTTTGGGGACGGCCCTTTCCTGTTCCAACATGACTGCGCACCAGTGCACAAAGCAAGGTCCATAAAGACATGGATGGGGGAGGAGGGGGGACGTGACTGGCCGCACAGAGTCCTGACCTCAATACCATAGAACACCTTTGGGATGAATTAGAGGCGGAGACTGCGAGCCCCTCCCCCAACATCAGTACCTGACCTCACAAATGGTCCAACATTCCCATAGACACACCCCTAAACCTTGTGGACGCCTTCCCAGAAGAGGCGGAGCTGTTATAGCGGCAAAGGGCGGAGCCAACCCAATACTGAACCCTACGGACTAAGACTGGGATGTCATTAAAGTGCGGAGCCAACTCAATACTGACCCCTACGGACTAAGACTGGGGGGGCCATTAGAGGGCGGAGCCTACCCAATACTGAACCCTACGGACTAAGACTGGGATGCCATTAAAGTTCATGTGCGTGTCAAGGCGTCCCAATACCTCTGGCGATATAGTGTATATTAATCCTTTATAAAGCACAGAACAAATCACGATACTTCAACCGTCTGGACAGGAATCACCTCGGAAGAGCTGGACGAATCCTCATGGTTGGTGGCTGGTGGGCGTGTCTGAGAATCGTGCTCCATATTGGAGCGGGTCTGGTAGGCGTGCTGACGCTTCTTCTGGATCTTGCGCAGGGCTCGCCCGCTGCAGACTTGATGATCGTTCTGGAAAGAGACGCAGAGGATGAAACACTTCACAGACGTGAAACCGCCATAACGGGGGGTCACCCGGTACAGACAGGAAGTCTTACCCTCTGTGCTGGATGGGAAGGCTTCCTCTTCTTCTCGGTGTTGTACAGGTGAACTTCCATCTCCCCCTTGGAGGTTTGCTGTGGCGCCTCAGTATACCGCGAGCTGTAGCTCCCTATATACTGAGCCTAGGGTGACGGGAGGACGCTAGTTTGTGTCCCCCCGTTACCCTGAGAACTATGGGGAAAAGCCCCGACCCCATAGTTCTCCTTTAAATGAGAACGGCTGTAACCCATAGTGAGCGCTCGGTCTGATCCCGTCCAATGTGCTAAGGACTCGTCTCTCTTACCTGCTGACTCCGTGCTGCAACTCGTTCACCACCACCCGTCTGCTCCACGCCATGAGATCCCGCTCTGTTGCTATCTGGCTTCGAGGAGCGTTGTGATGCATTTGGCGAACTCCTTCAATCTGTCCGCTGCGCCGGAGGCCGACGTTTGGTGGGGACGACAAGTCGAAACTCTGGCTTCGCATGACTGTGTGAAGAGGCGGAATGAAAAGGTGGTTACAATCCGATGATTTTATGTCTGCAGTGAAATGAGGAAGATTGAGACTTGCGACTACTCAAAACAGAAAATAGGGATAGGACATGCTTACAGCCATTCTCGGGGCCTGCCCTGTTCAACAGAGGATTATCCACAGGCTCCGCCTCCTCTGTGTGATGCTCGTCCTGTTCTCTCTGCAATTCTCTGATCAGACCATCGAGGATGCTCTCCTCCTGGCTGCTCGTCTGCTGTCCTATCACTTGTTCCACGACCTCTCCATTACCTGCGAGAGACACACACAGACCTTCCATTAATCGGGAGTGGGAGGGGCTACAGGAAGTGGGCGGAGACCAGATGCAGGGGGGACACATTACCATTGGATACGTATCCAAGCTGCGGGATAAGTTGTTCGTCTTTGCAGTTCTCTCGCCCGGGAACGAGGCGCTGGTATCGGGTTGGGTGAGGATTTCCATCCACGTCCACCAGGAACGGGGGAGGCATGAGGTGCGGGGCCTGCTGAGTCTGCTCATCCAACACATAGTTATTGGTGTCTCGGATCAATGGACGGAAGTCCGTGTGGAAGAACATCTGCTCTGGAATCTGCCGGAACAGGAATAGAATGTCACTCGAGTGGTACTCAGGGAGGGACGCCATGTTCTAGATCCCGAGCTCCTCAATGCTTCCCGCGTCCTCATAGCACACACCGCTCACCTTCTCATACGTTTTACTGCAGCCAAAGCCAAAAAGCAAGAGGTGACCGTGGGAGTCCGTGCAGGCAAAGTGCTGCCCGTCCTGGGAAAACTTGCAATCAAACACGGCGCCGTGTCCCTGCCCTTCAATCTGACCAACACAAGACAGAGAAAGGGTTTCATTATAAAGGGGGAGACACTCATCCGGCGAGAGAGAGAGAGAGAGAGGAGAGCGAGGGGGGGGGAGAAGAGGAGAGCGA